ATCGTGGCCATAAGCATTTTCATGATCGGAATAATTATTGCATAATCATAGTGTTAATAATAATACACCTTACTACAAAAAGTGATTAAACTATAGCAGACCATAATAATATCCCTTACCACTAGATGTGGACAAACTATAGTGATCACAATAATACATCTTACTAGCATAAGTGGACAAGCTATGAAAAAAAATAAAAATAAAAGTAGATTAAGCTATTATTCTGAAAATGAATGTTATTGGTATCATATAAAGAGACATCGATCGTGTTTCGCTATATGTTGAAACGCCTTATTGAGCTTTATCAAGCAATATTGACAAAAAAAAAAAAAAAGTAAAATATAAAGGCCAATTTTATATATCAAAATTATGGTAATTGAAATTAATAACTTGTTAGCTTTTCTATTTATAAATAAGATGTTCTATATTTTCTTATAATTTCTATTGCATAGAGATACATATAAATTTATTTTACTATTTATTTATTTGTGTTTATGGAGAATATATATATATATATTTACTTATTTTGTATTTATTAATTTAATTATCTATTTTGTGTTAATATTATACATGATAGTATCAATATAACAGAAAGTTTCAAGAGAGCAATTAGATTATTATCTCGAAAAAATAAATTTTGAAGACTCTAGAAGAGCAAATGTATAATTACTTGAAGAGAAAACTTTTAAAGACTCTACAAGAGTGAATATATTATTACTTGAAGTGACGGAATCTAAAAGCTCCGTAATGGCTAATATAATATTATCCGAAATGAAAAATTTTATTATAAATGATGCATTATTCTCTTTAAAGTCTTATAGAAATTTATTGAGTTTAAAAGATATTAGTCTAAATAGACATCATATCAAGACAAAAAATATGAAAAATATTGAATTCTTGAATGTTTTAATTGCATCGGATAGAAAATAAGTATGGGAGAAATTACCTATTGTCTCTTCGATCTTTATTACAAACATTGGAATGATTAAAACAAATGTTATAGTAAAATATAAGCTTACTAATTTAAATACTTTTATTATATGGCATAATCGGTTAGGTTATCCTAGGTCTTTCATTATGTAAAAAATTATTAAAAATTCATATGGACATCTATTGAAGAACTAGAAGATTCATTAGTTTGATGAATTTTCATGTTTTACATGTTCTCAAGGAAAATTGATTATTAAGCCATCACCAAGTAAAATTGAGATTGAATCTTCAGTATTTTTAGAATGTATTCAACATGGTATATTTGAATCAATTCTTCCACCATGTGGATCATTTATATATTTTATGGTTTTAATAGATACATCCATAAATTATTCATATTTATGTTTATTATCTACACAAAACATGATGTTTTTTAGATTGATAGCTCAAATAATTCAATTACGAGCATAATTTCTAAATTATGCTACTAAAAAAATTCACCTTGATAATACCGGTGAATTTATCTCTAAAGCATTAAATAATTATTGATTGGCTATTAGAATAAAGGTTGAACAACTTATTGCTCATGTTCATACCTATAAATGTTTAGCGTAATCATTTATCAAAAAGTTTCAATTGATAGCTAAATCATTATTTATAAAAACAAAACTCTCTCGTTTATGTTTGGAGACATGCAATCCTACATGCAAGCAATACGTATTTGCATCGGACTCATAAATTATAAAAAATTCTCCCCTTTTAATTGGTTAATGGTCATTAGCCAAATATTTTTCACCTAAAAATTTTTAATCGTGCAAGTATATATCCCTAGTGATCATCCATAATGAACTAAAATGGGCCATTAAAGGAGATTGAGAATATATATTAAATTTGAATCCTCTTCAATAATTAAATATCTTGAACCATGAACTAGGAATATTTTTACAACTCAATTTATCGACTCGCCATTTTGATGAAACAACTTTTCCAAGTATTAGGGAGAGAGGATTAGCAAAATAAGCAATTAGAAAACAAAAAGGTATTACATAGAGTACTCTATCTTTATATAATCTTGATCCTTGTACAAAATAATATAAACTAGAAATTTAAAAGATAATTTATTTACAAAGTATTGCGGACCAATTGCCAAGTACATTATCAAATTCGAAAAGAATAACTAAAATATATGTCCCCGCCGAGAATGCTCATATTAGAATTCATATCCTAAAAGGATAATTTATTAATATTATAGCGAATGAATCTAAAGCATGTCTAAAGTATAAAAGACCAATCGATTCTAAAGATAAAAATTCTCAAAAGAAAAATACAAATAATCAAGATGAAAATATTCACAAAAAAGTATAAAATATTTATGATAATAGGCTTCTAGAATATGTCCAAATGCTTGAGAACAATCAAAAGACTTTGATAAATTATGTCAATACAAGAAAAAAAATAGAATCGAACAAAAGTATTTATTGATAACATTTTTGCATATAATAGTGTAATTAATATTTTAAATGAAAATAAGGATCATGATCCTAAATTTATTGAAGAATATTGACATAGAGATGATTGGTCTAAATGAAAAAACCAATCCAGATAAAATTATATTTCCTTAAAATGAGTAGTTTTTGAATCCATAGTCAAAACATCCGAAGATGTTAAGTCAGTAAAATAAAAATGGATTGTTGTGTAAAAACAAAAATAAGAAAGATAAGATTGTGAAATACAAAGAAAGACTTGTAACACACGAGTTTTCGCAAAGACTCGACTTTGACTATGATGAGACATATTTTTCTCGTAATGAATGCAATTATATTTCCTTATCTCATAAAACTAGCAAAATATATGAAAAATTTTATATGCATATATTTAATAGATGTGATCACAACATATTTGTTCACTTAAAATGATATATTTATAAAAGTCTTAGAAGGACTTAAGATACCTAAAGCATGTAATATACATTTCTAAGAAATGTTTTCAATTAAATTATAGAGATTTTCATAATGATTATTTTAGTATTTGTTTTATTATTTTAGTTTTTAGAAATTCAATTTATATTATTCTTTTTATATTTTTTTTATTTTTCAATATCTACTCTTTATTACGAACCTCTGTGCATGTGATATAATCGCTTCAATGATTATTTATTGAAAGAAAGTTATAAAAATAACCCTATTTGTTCATGCATTTTTATTCGAAAAGAGGTTTGTTATATATGTTGATGATTTAAATATTATTAGAATTCCTAAAGAGATTTCAAATGCCATAAGTTTTCTAAAAATAGAATTTGATGTGAATACCTTGAAAAAACAAAATTTTACCTTGACTTGCAATTCGAGCACTTAGAGAATAAGATTTTTATTTATCGATCAATTTATATAGAAAACGTTCTACAATAATTGTATGTAAAGCTCATCCATTGACTAGCCCAATGGTAGTTCATTTATTTAATATCCAAAAAGATTATTTTTGACCTCGAGAAGATAACAAAAAACTACTTAGTCCCGAAGTACCATATCTTAGTGCTATTGGTGTGTTAATGTATCTTGCTAATATTAGCCAACATGATATATCATTTTCCGTGAATTTATTTGTAAGATATAATTCTACTCCAATACAAAGATATTGGAATGAAATGAAACATATACTACGTTATCTCCGAGGAACAATTGATATGGACTTATATTATTCCAATAAATAACAAACATAATTAATTGGTTATGCATATGCAAGTTATTTATCTGATCCACATAAAGCTCGATCACAAACTAGTTATGTATTTATTTATGGAAATACAACTATACCATGAGTTCTATGAAGCAAACTATAGTTGCTACATCTTCAAACCATATAGAAATACTAGCAATTCAATAGGCAAGTCGAAAATGTATTTGGTTAAGATCAATGACCCATCATATTCGAAAGACATGCAGTTTATCCACTAGCAAGGAAATTCATACAATATTGTATGAAGATAATACCGCTTGCATAGCTTAATTAAAAGAAAGATATATCAAAGGTAATATAATGAAACATATAGTACAAAAATTATTTTTTATATGTGATCTTCAATGGAATGATGATATTAATGTTTAAGAAATTTGATCAAGCACAATTCAGCAGATTTGTTCACTAAATCATTACCTATCACGAACTTTCGAGAAGATGATTCACAAGATTGGAATATGTCATCTTAGAGATCTTAAATAATGTTTTTAATAAGGGGAGCCCAATATGGGATTAATGTGTATAATAAATATTCTATTTTCTTTTCTTTATTAAGATTTTTTTCCTACTAGGTTTTTTTTTCTAGTAAGGTTGTAATGAGACATATTTCTTATACAATGGACATTCAAGGAGGAGTGGTATGAAATAATGAATATTCCTATGCTTTTCATATCCTCACTCGCTCATAATTCTTAATATGATTCAATTCATCATTCAATATGAGAAATTAAAAGTGCTATCGCAATTGATTCAATAATTTATGTATTTTTAATTATTTATAGTCCCTTCCAATTCTCTTTCTAATTTTGAAATCTACAAATAAGTTTGATTGTTCATTAGTCGATGTATAAGTATTTTACACTTTATTTTATATTAAATTCATTTTTCTATAATTTTTCTCTTTAATTCTACTATTGTTATTATTTCTTTTATAACATTGTCTAATATTTTCAATATAACACGTTTCAATTTTTCTCCTAATTTTTAGTATAATTATTCCATAAAAAATAGTGATGTATTTTTTGATTTATATCATCAATAAAATACTATCTTTTATATAAAACTAAAAAAATAAATCTAACACTAACTCTCCTCCCTTGCAAGTTTGAGCTATTACCAAGTTAGACTTCCCCACTAACATGATAATGTTTCCGTATGCTGGTTGGTATGCATATTTCCAATGTTCAATTGGGCCCTTAAGGCCTGAGTGGAATTGTAATTGAACTTGGCCCATTTTCCTTAAAACAAAATCTTGGAGAGCATCAACGTTGAATATCGCTTGTGGAATTTTGAACATTTTTTCATCATCCCTGTCGCTTGCTCTGTTGTTAGAAATGGATCGATCTCAAATTCTCCTTATAGGCTTACCAATCTTTCTGTTTTGCTCAGACATTCTAAATCTCTTCACATCACCACCACCACCTCCAAAACCAACTCAAAATGATCACCACAACATCCATCAATTCCAAGCAAAACCCCAACAAATTCTCCAAAAACAGCCACTTCAATTTCCAACACGGGTATCTTTAAACTTCACAAATTCTCTGTTTTCACATGATGTAAAGTGGGCTTGCTTTCTTTTTGACAATCTTTATGTTTTAATGAAATGCAGAAACCAAGCACCGCCATTGGTGGATCAGGCAATGCGGGGTTTGGTAGCATTATTAACATTAACTTTTGTGTTTCTTGTTCTTTCAGGTCTTTTCCATTCTCTACTTGTTCTGTTTTCTTCCCATTGTTATATTACGCTGAAATTGTTTAATTTTTCTTGGTTTTGAGTTGCATTAGTAATGATTGATTATTAATTATTTCTCGTAAGTCTGTGACATAAATAATTTATTTTTTATAATTAAATGTAGTACAAAAGGAGGTATATCTTTCCCATTCCTGTGGAAAAAAATAAAAAGTAATATTAATTAGTTCCAGTTTTTAGTTTTTAGTTTTAGGATTTGTGGTTGTACGATTACTATGTTTAATCCTTGTTTTTTTTTTCATTATATTTAATATTCACAGATAAGCTGTGTTGCTTTTTGGCAGAGGAACTGCAGTGACTATGAAAAATATGTTGGAATCGGAATTTCCTGGGATACAGGTTATTTTGGCAAACCATCCTGCTCCACTTCCGAAGCGCCTACTCAGCAAAGTCGTTCCTGTTGTTCAGTTTGGAATACTTGGGATAATAATGGCAGGCGAACAAATTTTTCCAAGGTTGGGATTTGCAGCTCCACCTCCATGGTACTACTCCTTACGTGCAAATAGATTTGGAAGTATCGCTAGCACTTGGCTCTTTGGAAACTTCGTTCAATCATTCCTTCATAGTTCTGGTGCTTTTGAAGTATATTGCAACGGTGAATTGGTAAAGGCATTTCCTTTTCTAATGATGCATGTTAACAGTTCACCTGAGCCAATTTCCTTTCCCTTTGATGTTTTGAATGATAACCACAATTTTAGACTTAGGAGGTGAAAACCTTGAATATCTATACAAAAGTTGTTAGGATGGTTTGTAGGAATAAATGTGGCATATGTTAAGAAAAATGTTTTGCTTTGTTTTCTCATCATTGCAGGTTTTCTCCAAGTTGATGGAGCGTCGTTTCCCTGGTGAAATTGAGTTGAGGGATCTTGTTGGCAGAAAACTTGCCCACAGAGGATTTGTTCAGGACAATGTAGAAGATCTCGGGTCCTAGTGAGTGTTACAAGGAGGCTATTGACTCAAATTTTCGATATGAGTTACACTTACTCACGTATATGATGCAGTAAGCAGGTTCATGAATGATGCAGATGGTCCTGCATCTTTCTGCTTCCGTTCGTTCCTGAGGCAGACAATAACACTTGGCATGGGCTTCCAGGTCTTCTGAAGGTTTATTTATGTGTTTGTCTCTTGAACTTTTTATCTCCCATCCTTTTTCAGATTTAGATGGCCTTCAGAGGTTGCTCTGTGATGCTACATTTGTACAAGTTCAATATCTTGGCGTAAGCCTCACTATAATATTGCCTTGTTTTTAACATGCTCTTTGACAACTTCTGGTACATTGCCCTTGCACACAGGGAATTTTCATTTCTCATCTGTATGGTTCTTACAGGTCGTATGTGTTTAATTTTTCCTGGGATTGGGGGGGGGGGGGGTGGGGGTTGTTGGGGGGTTTGGGGAATGAAACATAAAGTGTGAATCCAAGAATGAATAAACCATTAAAGAACAGGTTCTCTTCATGGCATTGGTAATTGGGAGGTTCTGTGGCTCTGCCAATGTCAAAGGTTCAGGTTTAGTTGGAGCCTGGAAGACAGCTGCGTTTAGAATGTGAAACCCAAAATCATCTGTAGAAATGCTAGCACAGTCGAAACTTCATCTTAGATATTATTAAAGTGCAGATTTTTAATTTTCTTCAAAATTACATGCCACAAATCACATTATAGGTGTGATAATTATCTCCTGTTGGTATCTTGGTGAAATCTCACCATGCACAAAAGGGAATAAACAAACAGGAAGGAAAACCCAAAAAACTGTCAGATAGCTAGCATATCAGGCCTATATTTCTCATATTTGCCACCATTTTCGTTTCTCCATTTTCTTGAGAAGTTCATTTGCCAATGATGCATAGTCTTCTGATCTACCTTCCAGCTCTTCAGCATCATTGCCGATTTTCTTATGCAATTATATATAGAATTGCACAACAACAACAACAACAACAACAACAACAACAAAAAAAAAAAAAAAAAAAAAAAAATCATTTAGCACTTGGTCTAGAAGATAGGCCGCTTGTGTATAACAATTTAGAAGGCAATATATTGTAAATTGTCTAGGAACATATGAAGACTGAAGAAAATTGGGGAAATTCAACCGTGAAAGCAAAATTTATTTTCCAAATCTTTTGTTAAAATCTTACCTCCAGCTTTTCCTGCCTTTCGACCAGCTTGTGTCTTGCACTAGTAGCCAGAGAAGAGGCATCCTGAATCATTTACCAAACCAGACGAGCACAATCAAAATTAAAAAGGCTGTCGTTGGCCTTACGAAGGAAGATTTGGTTAATTGTAAACCAACATACAGGGATTACCTTGGATTTTCTATATTTAGCTACGATTTCCTTAAGGTTCCTACTTCTGGGCTTTGTGTCTCCACCAGAACCTAATAAAATTTCCCTTTCCTTTCTCTTTTCTGCAATGCAAAATCAGAAATGATTTGTTCAATAATCCATATAAGTTATTAATGCACAAGAAACTCAGATTTACCTCTCGTTTTATTTTGAGATTCATGGGATGATTTGGTTGCCATGAGCAAGTTCGTGTGTTTCCTTATCAGTTACGATAAAGGAAACATATGAACTGAGAGAGAATGATGAAAAGGACGGAGTTTTGGGTATATTAACTTTTAATTAGCTCCACAAACCTGTGGGCTAAATTAAGGCCCGCCCTAATTAGCATGGTTTAAAGCTACACAAGCCTATATTAATCTCCACAACTTCCTGAGTCCTCTAATAGAGTAAAAATTGGCCAATTTGAGCCATTTTTAGCCCTGATTTTCTTTGATAATCCCAGGGGCAACTACCTTAAGTAACACGGCCAAATGCGCAATTTCACAAAAGTAAATTAGAGAAAACTGCTGCCATCCGTTTCAACCTGCTTGTCCTCCTGCTAGAACCTTGTCATGGAAAAAAAGATAGAGAGGCCACAATCGTGGAAACAGCAACAAAGCAAAAGTCGTACATCTATCATTATTGCTGGGTTATTGCTGAGGAATACCCGCTCCATTTAACAATTTGTTTAGTTTCTCTCAGTTAACGAATGGGCAGAATAGGTTTCAGTGAAATCCATCTCTTTTTATTTCTATAAAACAAAATTTCTGTACAACAAATGAAAATGACAAAAAACGCGGCAAGCATCTGTGTTTTATAAAATTGCACAAAAAAAAGTATATTAACTGCACTCAGATAAATTAATGTGCATTAGAGATCTAAAAACTCATCCTAAAACTGCCTGTTAAAATCCCAGTTGCCAGAGTGAAAGCAACTAAACGGGCACAAACAATCCAAACCTATGCCAACAAGCCAGACTTTTATTTTGTTCATATTTGCCACCATTTTCGATTTTCCATCACCTTGACAAGCTCATTTGCCAGTGATGCAAAGTCTTCCGCCCCACTTTGGAGCTCTGCAGTGCGCCTGCTCATTCTCTGATACAGATAATGACAAAAAGATAACTTTCAGAGGTCATTAAGACAAGATAAAACTATGTAAAGTTAACAGATCTAGAAGGATAAGCTGACATTCACTAACTCATCCCTGAGACATAACCAAGGTATTCTACAGGGCAATTAATAAAACAATGTAATTGTAGAGTGGGTTTTTCAGTTGGCTTTGCAAACAAAGAAGACAGCATATAGGGTAACACAGGAGGGAAAACTCCTAATTCATTGCTGCCAATAGAGTTGGAATCTTCTTATTTTTCTCATCATTGCCACTCAACAAAATCCACAAGTTGGTTTAGCTTTAACAAAGTAGAAGCAATTTATCCATTTCAAATACCAAAGCATTCTCACAGTAATATTAAATTCATAATGTCTTACTTCAAGTTTTTCCTGCCTCTCTACAAGCTTGTTTCTTGCATGTGCAGCAGCAGAAGAGGCATCCTGAAAACAGTAACCACGTCAGACAAGGCAATCCATTGAAACCACCGTTACCATGGAGGAGACAAGTTGATCACAGGAAATTACCCCAGCTTTTCTATATTTAGCCATAATTTCTTCTGGTGTCCTAAGTTTGGGCTTCATATCATCAGCCACACCTAACAATTGATCCCTTTCTGACCGCTTCTCTGGAGTGCAAAAACTGTATTGTTAAATAACCAACATCAGTTAAAACATGATTAACATGTGGGAAAGCCAAATATACCTCTCTTCATATGCTTCACTCCTTGCAATGAAGTAGTTGCTTTGGTTAGCGAAGGCTCATCTATCTCAATGTCATCTGCACAAGGAAAGCATTCAGAATGGGAGAGAAATTGAAAGAAAATACTATGATAGAGATATAGACTGGCAAAAACTTGTATTAAGCTCCACAAACCTATATCAAGCTCCACAACTTCCTGACTGTCTATTGCAGTTGGAGACGAATCTGAGAATGGTTGCTTCAAAAAACACCCTCAAGATGACTAAAATTGGATTTGGGACTTGGAGTAACATCCACACTGTGGTCTACCTTCCCCCTTTAAAGCCTTTGACAATGCCTCCGAGAATCCCAGGTTTGGTACCCTGTAACAGCATAGATAAGCCACAGAAGCAAAATGATACTTAATATAAATCTCACAGAGATGTTAATAATTTGAACCTGCTTCTTCTTCTGATTTGAGGAGAAATCAAAGGCAGCCTCGGCGGCAGCAGCAAGTAGCTTATCATGAAGACATGGAAAAGACTCTGGGATCCTACAAAGAGCATTGCAGGTCTGTCAGACATTTGATTTCATACTAATACGCACAACTGAATTTTATCTAACTAATTTTATCACGGCATTAACTAACATGCATTTAAATATGATGAAGGTACCTGAAACAATTTTCAACAGAAAACAGTGAGATGAAGGCCAATTCACACCCATGTGCCTATAAAATTCTCAACATTAGAAATAATTAAAAAAAAGTTGTGGAGAGTGCAGAACGATCAGATTATAATACATTGAAGTGACAGCACAACCATGACTTAAAAAGGTAGACATGGATGCAGCTGTATAAGAAGACATATTCAACATGGAAAAAACAATTAAAAAAGATGATTTTCTGACAAAGTCAAAATTTCAGAAGCAAATGATACCAGTGTAATCAGCCCATTTTCACAACTCATCATCTTCTCCATGTTTGCCTTAAAATTCCACCTTAGAACTGACATTAAGGAGGTTTCTTTCATCAACTCTAAACCTGAAAATGATCTGTCCAAGGATACACAATATTAACGATTTTGCTACAAGTAATACCAATCTGACGTGCAGTAAAAAATGTTGGAACTGTAATCCACTATTACGGAGGTAAGACTTTCACCTGATCTCAATTTCTCCACTCTTGAACAGCAAAATCACTCCACAAATGTTTCCATCTTTCCTAAAAGTTGAAGACCAACAGCAAGGTTTTGCATGTTTCACTTTACAAATGGTTTTGTTGTTTCCCTAACGAAGATATTTTAGTTGGATTGCAAACAGAGTACAGCATTTTTTGGAAGTGAAAACAAAAAAGGCAATAGAGCTACCTGAATCACATTCTTTGTAGAGTATACGCACAATGAATCCTCACAACAAAGCAATATAAATGAATCCATCAATCTTTCTCTGTTTACTGCAATATTTGAAGATGAGTGATGTTCATTGTTATGTGAACTAATCCCTGTTGAGGTTGTTGTATGCGTGGTTTCAGTCTTGGCTGCTGCATCCTGGCTAGATTCCTCTAGCTTCTTTCCATCAGTTGAGCAAGATACAGAAGAACTGCCCTCTGTGTTAAAGAACAGGTTTTAAGAACTTTTAATTTGTAAGTGTATCAAATTAAAAGAAACAAGGTCCTTATGTCTTCAACATTCAAGAATATACTTGCCTATGACATACATAGAAATTGCAACTGATTTCTTTTTTGGATGACATGGATGTGAGTTCATCAATCTACCACTTCCACCATCAATCATGTAAAGAGTTGCATCCTTGGTAAGTAAAAACATGATTTCCTCTGTAGGGTTGACTGGAATATTAGAATCCGAATGCTTTGGGCTTTTCACAAGGCTACAAGTATTTATGCATTCTACCCAATTTATTGAAACAACTGGCGAGCTAGAGCCAGATACAGAGTCTGTAAAGAACAGAACCGATAATGAACCCATATCAAGTACTGCCACCTGAAATGAAAGCATTCAAGACAAAAATTCATATGAACAAAGAAACTAAAAGCACCAGTCTATAAACGAACTCAGCATGAAGACAATCGAAAGACATAATACAGATAACAGGACAGACAATACTCACAAGACCGCATTCAAGCCCTACAGCAAGCTTGGCTCCATAATTTGCAAACTTGAGTGCAAGAATAGGAGAATTGAGAAGAGAAAAAACAGCTCTAAGTGGAGGACCTTTCCCTTGACGCAACGTGTGAACTATGGGAAAAGAATAATCTATTAGTTGAGCAGGTAGAGAGTTAATGATATTTTCTCAAGATAAATGTAATATCAATGATCTAGTGACGAGATATGAACGGTGTCTGCAGTGAATGGACCACATAAATGAAGAACTGTTCAATCTAACTTAGAGAGAGAGAGAGAGAGCTATTTTAGTACTAGTTTCCATATCAGTTGGCTGAAATCAATTAAATGATTAAGCAGTAAGCTTGTATTTTTCTATCTGCAGCAGTTTTCATTTGATGAGTGACTAATACAGTTGTTACGGTCTAGCAAGCTGGTAAATCAAATGAGGTAAACCAAAGAGTGTGATCCTTAGCTCTCAGAGTTGAAAGCCATCATGTAACGAGGTCAACTGCTCAAATTCTTAACAGTTTGAAATTTCTCTCCAATCTGTACTATTTGGAAGGAATTCTGAAATTTTAAATCTGTTTTAACAACGGGCCTTTAGCAAATTTTTGAAATTTTAGTACAGTCAATATTCTATTTATGAATTTCTCGTTTGCAATTGATATTAGATAAAGAGCAGGGATTCCACTTTCATCTCAAAACTCATCTTAAAACAGAATATAAAACTGGATCTCAAATTTGGACGCTCTTGCTATAGAAAGGTAATGTACAAAGAAAACAAAGGTGGCCTGCTGCTAGAGGAACTCCTAAAACTTACCTTCATTTTTATTATCTATTACAAAGTGGAAAGTAGTCTCATCTGAGCTGCCATTCAGGTTATAAATGCGAACCTAACATAAATTACATAGGTTTAGTAAATATAGAACAAAATGACAAAAAACTTTGGTTTCAAAGGAAAAGAAAAACCACTAGAGAAACATCTCTGACCAGTCCACATTTATTGCCAACAGCTAGACTTAGTGTAAGGGAACAGAGGTCCAAATTTGAAACTGGATCACTAAAGCCAGCAACTCCTACACTACCAACCTGACAATCACATGAAGTTAATAAGAATAAAAAATATGCATTCAACTTAAGAACAATAAATTTGCAGAACAATGATAAAAATATCTCAAACCTCGCCTTCTACAATGCAAATAAGTGATAGGACAGGATATGTGGCATCCCATAACCGTACAGATCCATCTTGATAACCTGCTATGTACACTCTCTCAACACCAGTATGTTCTGTAAAAGACAGATGACTGGGTACACCCCCAGTAAAGGGCCAATTTGTAGAACCACCCTCGGCATGTGTGGAGCTGCGTTTTTTAGCTGAGGCTATCTGAGAGATCAGATATGAAATACTTCAATAACATAAGATTACCAGAAACCTAAATGTTTCAAGACAGAACTATTTGAGAGTCAGATATACCTCAGATAAAATCTTTGATGAGTTTGCACCCGAGGGCAATGTAATGAACTTTGCCATAGTTATGGGTGGATCAACTGTAGGTACTACCGGGGAAATTCCATAGCTAAGACAGATGATTTACTCTTTTGCTGACACAGTAAGGCAGACAAGCTAGCATCATCAAAAAGACGAAGTTCTCCAGGATTTGTCAATACAGCAAGAGCAGCTTTATGATTACCCTCTGTTGGTCCAGAACTTGGTAACAAAATCATGTCCGCAAAGGAGCCAGCAAGGGTGATATCCACGCGACCAGTGCATCTCACTGTCTCCATCCTAGATGACCATTCCAAAGTCAACACCTGTGCCACTCAGATCACATATCAGACCAAACAATTGAAGGTTAAAAAAATCCAAACATCAGTTCAGTAAATGTTACAGTGATTGAATGAAAAGTGCCACATCATTTATATAGTTTAGTCTTGCTGTCAGTTTTACAATGTACCATTCGAAACAAGGACCTTTTAAAAAATAGCATCTATACCATTTAAAAAATTTGTATTGGAATGCTCCTTTTTCCTGTCTTTGTTAAGAAGGATTGCAATGCTCTTCGAGAATCAAACTAATTCCTCACTTTGACTCTTTCACACCCCCCCCCCCCCCCCAAATGCCCTGACTGCTGGGTGCTAGTGGAAGAGTCAATGGAAGGCTCTGTTGTCAGTTGCTTTGTAGGGTTTTTCAGGAGTCATAAACCAAACGTTGGGGGTTATTCATACAATTACTAGCTATTCAAGTCCGTCAAGAATAAGATCACTTTATCAGTGATATCTATTTAAAAGTTTGAGTTTGTAACTGCATTAACACAGCCTTTAAATTCAAAATTATGGCCACCATTCTACAATGCGCGTAGTTGGACTGATGCTTGATAATTATTGAGAGTTTTTATATTTAGAAAAAATTAGTGTTTGCTTGGAGTGAACCTAAAAGCAACGGGGATGAAACTAAAGCTCTTCAGGTGCTGTATGAACATTTTAATTTAACGAGAAAAGGACTTGCTATCAATAAAAAGAAACCTAAACAAAACCAAATATCAATAAGAATGACTAGAATTTTCACTAAACACCATATTGGTAATGAATTAACAATTGAAAATGAAAAGTACAAAGATATCTATGAAACTCGAATCCTTTTGTATTCTATCTTTTTAATTGCTAAAGGCTAATCTAAAGCACCAAGTCCAGACAACTTATTCGGCATGTAGAACCTCAACCTATCCTTGAAAAATATGTAGGCTTTTCCAGTAGCAAGAATTGTCACATCTTGATTCTTTTAAAGAATCTAAAGTTCTTTCTCAGAAAAGATAGAAAGAGAGTGACGATCCAATAACCGCATACAACTGTATGCCAACAAAAATAACGAAATAGAGAATTGCTATGAAATCCATAACTCACCGTTAGAACTTCTTCAGATCCTATTTCATCACCACCATAGATAAACAATCGGCCATTACCATCACTACTAGGTCGATCACTTGTGGACCAGTGTAAGGCAATAATAGGGAGCCTCTTTTCAGCTGATGATAATTGTAGCTTAACAATATTGCTGTTTGACAATTCATTTTGTTGACTTCTAGTGGAAGAAGCAGTTGATGTTTTCCAAAACAAGATATCCCCATCCACATATCCCACTGCAAGAATGGACCCATTGGAAGATGCCCAGCTTAGAGCAGTTATCTCTTTCTCTTGTAAATGATGATAAGATGTATCTTCTGGAATGTTAGTGTCATTTCTAGAATCATCCTTCAGTTGGAGATCCTTGTCACCTCCAACAAAAAGGATCCGACCTTCAAAAACATCCCAAAGAACTATCAATCCATTTTGATATGCAATCAGCACTCTGCAAAAGAAATAGATTTTGAAATTTCCAGTAGGAAAAAAAAAAGCAGTGATATAATCTCATTCCAAGCTAATGAGTCACAACTGCTATGCTGACAGAAAAACAGAGTGCTGCTTGAGGGGTAATTAAATTGATAGACAGAAGATAAAGATCAAACCAAACTTTCCATTGAACTCCCAAAAGAAAAAAAAAGTAAAAGTGGATGATTAAGCACTTATGTCTTGCCTATTTCCAGAAGAACAAGGTTGAGGAAGAACTCCAACAATAGGTTGGTGATCAGGAGACAGAAATCCAGCTGCTTCTGTGAAACAAGACCCAAGCATTAAATATGAAGTGTGAACTGAAGGACTGGATCCACAAGAACACTCAAGAACCTAATAGTATGACGTATAGAAGAACAAGAGTAATAAGTGCTTCAGCTATTTAACAAAAGAAGAAATTACCCTTTAAAGAGTTTGCAGTTATATGATAAGGCAACTGTAAAAGCTTAGCATCTTCATAATCATACTTCACTACGGACATTGAACCATGTTCTTCTCCAATATACCTATGCAGCATTGTTCCAGTAATCATTTCCATACTCATCTGGTTAGCAGAAAACTAAAAATACATGAAACATTTTATATTTTACATCAATGCTGTACATGAAACAGGAGCGACTGATCACAGAGAATGCAGTTATATTTGATTCCCATTGTAACATACATGCTAAGCATCTGCTCTCCAGATTCCAAACCTGCAAAAATGATTTAAACAAGTAACCATATATATTGAATTTTAATGGAAATCATAAACAACTTATGTAATATCTTGCCAGCAACCTGTAGCATCTACTAAGCTAAATGTATTGACTGTTTCCTGCCTGTGTCTGTAATATTTTGCAGTTTCTTCAGTACAATTTTTATCAGCTAATATGAAATCTATAATACATGATGAATAAGGACTAAGAATGAACATTAAATTTTAAAGAAGCAATCAATTAAAAAGCATTTAAATAGTGAGAAATGAGAAGAAACTTAACAAACTGACAAATTGCAAAAGTTTAGCTGACTCTTCATGTAAAATTCAACATAGCAGAATCCAAAAGCCATGCTTGACAAGAAACAGAAAGCGCATAGCTGGTGCAGAATCATACCTGAATATCATTCTCAACTGAAATGCTGATCAAGATGCCCTGGTTTTGTAGAAACTGCCAAATGACACCAAGCATAAATTTCTGATAAATAAATAAATAAATATTCAAAACACTATTAAGCATCAATTTACAACTAAAATAAATATTCTAGCTGATACAAATCATCAAATTTCAATAAAAAATAAACAAATGTTCCATATAGATCGTAAAACAACCTCTATGTTCTTGTACGGCAATTGCTTCGGGGATGTAAAGAGTGCTTCGATACCATCACCACCAATCACTTTAATTCTCCCATCCCTACAACAAATATAAAAAGAGAAACATAAATCAAAGTGAAATAGTGCATATATAAATCAATTAACATGCAGTAAATAATCAGCATTCACTCTTCAGTGCGACGGATTATATTTTATTTAGTACCTAAAAAATCAAAAGGCAATTCATCATTAAAAAATAATTGAACTCACAGTGTGGCAATGGCCAAAAGGCTCTGAATGGGATCAAAAGCAAGAAGTGATGCCGTAGACGGAATCCCATAGTGCATAACAATTTGCAAATCCAAGTCTGCCGATGTCAAGCTGCCGCGTTCCCCATTATTCTAAAGCAGCAAATTACTAAGATCATTAAAATAAAAAATTCATTACATTCTACTTTCGCTTAAGTTAATGATGATTTCAAGCTGATTAACATTTCAATTAGCAACATGGATTTGAATTTCAATTCAATTATGCTTTGGTACGCATTTATCAATGCTTCAAAATAAATAAATAAAATGAAGAAAAAATCTTTAATTGGAATAAAAGCCTAGATCATATCAGAATCAACGAAATTGAAACAAAAAGAGAAGAGAAGGACGACAAGCAACCTGGTGGTGGTGGTGGTTGTGGTTGTGGTGTTGGACGGCTTTTTGAAGCAGTCGCTTCGCGGCAAGCATGGTGAATTGGTATCTGATAAGGGAAATGTGAGTGTTCTGATTGTTTCTTGTTCGAGTTTGTTTTTATGAGAAAGAGTAAAGACGAGACAGTCTTTCTTTGTGGGAGGACTGATTATACCAATGCTACATTGCTAGACCTCAACGGTTGCTTGGTCAATGCAAGAAAGAAAATTATCCTCTCACTTTTTAACTTTTTTTAAGACGTTGATCAATTCTTTACAGTTTGGTAATCCGCTTTTTCAAACTCTCTCTCAAACAGTCCGCCTTCTTAAAGTTGTCGCTGGGATATCAATTTATCCCGAGGTGGAAGCATATCATCAGCAACGACGGAACGAGTAGGATTTTTAGGATAGTTACTATTTAATATGGATACTTAAAATTTTTATTAACTGAATAATTAATAGGGTATAAATACTATCAAAGCCGATCAGATGTGTGTGTGTGTTTGTATTATCTTTTTATTTATAATGAATAATAAATAACATTTAGAATAATAGATCCTCTAAGGTATGAATATTTAAATTTTTCATCTTACCGGTAATAGATAATTATAGAAACACAAAACTCTACGGATATTGAATTAGTTAATTACAGAACTAATGTAAGTAGGACCTGCCAAAGGGGATGTAGCTCAGATGGTAGAGCGCTCGCTTAGCATGCGAGAGGTACGGGGATCGATACCCCGCATCTCCATCGTTAATGGCTTTCTAGGGTAGAGACCGTTTTTCCAAAAATAATTATTTAGTCCTTGAATTTTGAACATTATGATAGCTTAGTCCCTCATTTTTTCAGAACTGCCTTTTGTCCAAGGATTTAAAATGTTAGTTACAAAATGAGAGAGTAAGGTATAATAATTTTGTAACTAACAAGGATTTAAAAAAACACTCACATAGAAATAATCCAAAAGTTTGCACATCAAATACATAATTAACTATAACCAATTTAACTTCTTCCACACAAAAAAAAAAAAAAAGGTTTTAAAAATGAGAGAGTAAGGTATAATAATTTTGTAACTAACATTTTAAATCCTTGGACAAAAGGCAGTTCTGAAAAAATGAGGGACTAAGCTATCATAATGTTCAAAATTCAAGGACTAAATAATTATTTTTGGGAAAACGGTCTCTACCCTAGAAAGCCATTAACGATGGAGATGCGGGGTATCGATCCCCGTACCTCTCGCATGCTAAGCGAGCGCTCTACCATCTGAGCTAACGACGATAATATATATATTACATATTTTTAAAATTTAGAATGAACATATATATATCGAATTATATTACTCTTATTGTTTAAATTTAATTTTTTATTTGATTTTTTTCTTATATAAATTCTCATAAAATAATTTTTTATATAATTTTTTTGTTAATATATATGATTTTTTTTCTCTATGTATGGATTTTTGAATATAATTATTTGATCTTTTCCTAATGTGTATATATATATATATATATATTACTCTTATTGTTTTAAATTGATTTTTTTTAATTTGTTGTTTCTTATAGAAAGTCTCATGAAATTAATTATATATTTTTTATGTAATTTTATTTGTTAATAAATATGATTTATTTTTATCTATGTATGATTTTTTGAATAAATTTTTAAAATATCATTATTTAATATATTTTTTATATATTGATATAATTCATATGCTAGATTCTTATGATTTTTAAATGAAAGTGCTAAAAGCCCAAAGTATATTTTAGATAATTTGTCTCAAATATTTTTTAAAAATTAATTAAAAAATAAAATTCACGTGTTTTATTTGTTTCTTATTTATATAATTAAACTATCAAAATTACTTATGTAGTTTCTTTTTATTTCACACTATTAACGTAAATATATTCCTTGAAATTAATTTATTTTTTAAATATTTTTTTATTTATATTGCACACTCTGAATCCATTGAATATGATCAATGATGTAAATATAAAAAAAAATGAGATAATTAGTTTTATTAGAAATTAACTATACACCTATACATATAACACCAATCATTTGCTATTAATTTTTTTTAATATTCTAAAATTAATTTATTTAAAATAAAATAATTGAAGTAATATTTTAAGAACACCATCCAATAATTCAAATACGCATTTTTATATTAATATTATTGATTATTTTATGAATAAATATATATAAATCAAACGTATGTGGCTTTTTCAAAAATAATCTTTCCATTACGGTTAAATAAGAATGAAAAAAATTCATTTATTAATTTTTATACAATTTTTATATTAATTATTTTTTTATTTTTTGATGCAATCTTTTGAAACTAAATATTAAGGTATTTTTTAAAAAAATTAATTAAATATTATATCTAGATTATTGTAAGGTTTTAATTAAAAATCAATACATAAAAATAAAAAATGGTGTTTTTTAAATACAAAATTTATGAAAAACATTAAAAAAATAAATTATAAAAATAAATTTTTTTTTACCTTTTTAATTCAATATACCAGGGGCTATAAAATTAAAATTATTTTTTAAAAATGATTTCACACGTTCTTCTCGACTCCATCGTGGCACGCCAGTCAATTAGTCCTAGCTAAACCAATTAGCACGCCAGTCAATTAGTCCTAGCTAAACCAATTAGCACGCCAGTCAATTATTTCTAGCTAAACCCATTGGCACGCCAGTCAATTAGTTCTAGCTATACCAATTAGCACGCTCTATTTTTCTCTGACTCGTGAACCCCATGGAAGAAAGAATAAAATGATAAAATTATCATTATCAAACAAGTGCTTTCCTAAAGAATTCGAAAATTTCCCACTTGCATGAGAATTAGTAATATGATTAAGGATTAGCATGATTAAAAAAACGTAATATAATTAAGATTGAAGAAAAGAGATTTATATGTATAAATTAACGATTGAGTTAATGTATGATGGACATGATGTCTCTTTCTTGCTGTCAAATGGTCATAAAAATTCGTTATTTAATTAATTAAGAAAAGAATAAACAACAAAAATGGCACTGAATCGCTGACTTTGTTCTTCTTTGGGGCCTATAAAAAAACATGCGTTCTTGTTTCTTACCCAAAATGGAAGTTGTAAAATCAACCCTGGAATCATGAGGAGTTTCCCAACTTCAACATCTCCAAAATTCCCTTATTTCCTCACTGTTTTCTTCTTGTTTCTTTCAACTTCAAATTCCCAGAACTTTTTGCGAAGAGGTTCATCTCTATCAGTAGAAGATGATTCAGACATCCTTATCTCACCAGATAAAACATTCTCTTGTGGGTTCTATGGGATGGGGCAAAATGCTTATTGGTTCTCTATTTGGTTCACCAATTCCAAGGACAGGACTGTGGTTTGGATGGCCAACAGAGACAGACCTGCCAATGGCCGAGGCTCAAGAGTTTCTCTACGACGAGATGGTGCCATGGTCTTGGCCGATGTTGATGGGTCCATCATATGGGAGACTAACACCTCCACTAATGCGAGAAGAGCAGAGCTTCTGGATACTGGTAACCTTGTTATTAAAGGTCCTGGTGGTAAAATTCTGTGGCAAAGCTTTAATTTTCCTACTGATACACTACTTCCAAAACAATTCTTTACAAAGAATACAAAGCTGATTGCTAGATTACATAGAGAGTCTTTTGCTTCTGGATATTTTAGTTTCTTTTTTGATAATGATAATGTGCTGAGGTTGATATATGATGGTCCTGATATTTCAAGCATATACTGGCCTAATCCTGAATTTGATGTGTTCCAAAATGGTAGAACAAACTACAATAGTAGCAGAATTGCTGTTTATGATGAAATGGGCCATTTTATATCTAGTGATCAGTTCCAGTTCGTTGCTTCTGACATGGGTTCCTTGAGGATCAAAAGGAGGCTAACAATGGACTACGATGGGAATCTCAGACTTTACAGCCTGAACAATGACACTGGATTGTGGATGGTATCATGGGAAGCTCTTTCTCAGCTGTGTCATGTTCATGGAATTTGCGGGAGAAATGGAATCTGTGTAAATACACCAGAGCCTAAGTGTTCATGCCCTCCTGGCTATGAGATTACTGAGCCTGGTAACTGGAATAAAGGCTGCAAGCCTTCGTTTAACGAAACTCTTTCCCAGTCTCAGCAAGTGAAATTTGTGCAGTTGCCGCATGTGGAGTACTGGGGATTTGATCTTAATTACAGTCCATCCATTTCAATGGATTCCTGCATGACGCTATGCTTGGAGGATTACCGATGTAAAGCATTCAGCTATCGGGTAACAGAGAAACGGCTTTGTTTCACAAAAAGTGTGCTTTTCAATGGTTACCAGTCTCCAAGTTTTCCAGCCAATATATTTCTTAAATTGCCAGTGAGTGTTGATGCATCGGAACTCGCTACTCTTACTGGCACAGACCTCGTTTGCCAGTCTGCTGAATCGGAAACAATAATCGGTCCTCCTTCTATGTATAACATCAACAATAAGAAGATGAGATGGGTTTATCTCTATTCATTTGCTTCTGCCATTGGTTTTATTGAACTCCTCTTTGTAGCCTCAGGTTGGTGGTTTCTTTTCAGAAAGCAAGGAGTGCCAAATTTGGTGGAAGATGGATATCATGTGATATTAAGTCGGTTTAGGAGGTTTACTTATGCTGAGCTCAAGAAGGCGACAAGGAATTTCAAGGAAGAGCTGGGAAGGGGAGGTTCTGGAGCTGTATATAAGGGCATTTTGACAGATGAAAGGGTTGTAGCTGTGAAGAGACTGGAAAACATGTACCAAGGGGAAGATGTATTTTGGGCAGAAATGAGCACAATAGGAAAAATCAATCATATGAACCTAGTGAGAATGTGGGGATTCTGTTCAGAGGGCAAACACAGACTCCTAGTCTATGAGCACATGGAGAACCAGTCACTGGACAAGCATCTGTTCTCCCCAAAGTTTCTTGAATGGAAAGACAGGTTTGGAGTTGCCTTAGGGACAGCTAAGGGTTTGGCTTATCTTCACCACGAGTGTCTAGAGTGGGTTATACATTGTGATGTGAAGCCAGGAAATATACTTCTGGACAGTGAATTCGAACCTAAGATCGCAGATTTCGGGCTAGCCAAGCTGTCTCAGAGGGGTGGCAACAGCTCTGACTTCTCTCGGATTCGAGGGACGAAGGGTTACATGGCTCCAGAGTGGGCTACAAATCTTCCCATCACTGCAAAAGTTGATGTTTATAGTTATGGAGTTGTAATTCTAGAGATAGTGAAAGGAATCCCGGTCTCAAATTGGGTTATAGAGGGCGGTGAAGAGCATGAATCAGAATTAACAAGGTTTGTCAAAGTGGTGAAAAGGAAAATTCATCGTGGAGAGGACTCTTGGATAGAGGAAATAGTGGATCCAAGATTGAATGGTCAGTTTAGCAGGAACCAAGCAGCAAGAATTGTTGAAATTGGTATATCTTGTGTGGAGGAAGACAGAAACAAGCGACCAACAATGGATTCAGTAGTCCAAGCTCTATTAGAATGTCAAGATGAACCTAAAAACCAGTTTTCGGACAGTCAGTGATTGCATTCAACTTGTATCTGAGTTTTTTTCTCCAAGGTAATTTTGTGCTGTTATCAATTACTCGGTGCCATTTCCCTATCAGCATCAGACGTGATTTAGTGCTTTGAATGTAAAAATTCTTCGGTCAAGTAAGTGATTTTACATTTAGGTTAAGCATAGATGATTGGACTGGATTGGCCATTCTAATTCTTATTCTTATTCTTAAAAAAACTAAAAGAACTGAAATATTTAAACAGTAATTACTGTTTATTTACTGTGCCTCAATTCTTTTGGTTTGATTTTTCTTCTGGGTTGGTTTTTTTTTCTTTTTGGGTTGCCTGGTTTTTTTTGTTTTTTTCTTGCTGTATGGCATATCCTGGCCACCTAGCCTTTTTTCGTTTTTGTTTTTTTTATTACACACATATATATAATCATAAAATTAGGTGTGAAAAATATAAAAAATAAATCGTGTTATAAAATAATGAATGTCCATATTAATGTCTATCTATTTTTCATATCCTCACTACTCATGATCCTTAATGTGATTCAATTCACCATTCAATTTGAGAAATTGAAAAGGTGATGCAATTGATGTACTTTTAATTATTCATAGTTCCTTCCAATTCTCATCTCAATTTTGAGGCCTATAAATATGCTTGATTGTTCATTTGTTGATGTACAAATTTTTAGAGAGATTAAGAGAACAACTTGAAGTTTTCTCACTTGTATTCACTTTA